TGCCTTGGTTTACCATGTTTTCTTGAGCTTTTTGTTGGTTGGTTTAGCTGCTCCTTAGTTCAGAGTTTCCACTTCTGGGTATCTGGTTCTTTTGACGATGGCTACTACATGGTTTATCATGGTATGGTTTATCATCTCTAAAACTAACATAGTTAGCTGTCTGCTGCTGTGTTTTCTTTGTTTTCCGGTTAACCACTATTGCATATTCCTCAACTATTAAGTATTTGATGATTTTCTCTGTAGTATCTGTACCAGTTGCTGGTAGTGGGTATCCAATGGATCTGCTGATCATTCTTTCCTGGTTCATGTACTAATTTATAATCTACATTGTGCATGTCCATGACCCATTTCTCTATCCTTGGTGGTAGCTTCGATGTTGCTTTGTTAATCATCGGTAGTAGCGGTGTGCTGTAATGATTTTGAATATGTTGAACAAGATAAATGATGAACCTGTACATTGCCAATGCGAGTTGTAAAGCATCTTTCTCTTTTCTCTTTTTGATTATATGTTTTCTTGAACAACCCGGCAGATAGTCATAAATGGAAGCTAGCTTAAACTCCTAATATGATTGGTTTCGTACCTTCTATGGTAATTGCAATTGCTTCTACCTTACAAACCTTACCAAGTATCAGAGTAATATCAAAGTAGAATCTTTTGCTCAAAATGGCAAAAACAAGTTCTAATAAAAGAACGCTTAGAAAGAACTTCCGTGTTATAGACACAATGCAAATTAATTCAAAATTACTGGAAAAGCTGAAAACTAATTATGCAAATCAGGTAAGTAATATGAACAAAAGGTCTGCACAATGCAACAAACTATCTATAAACCAAGTTTCATTGAAATGTGACGAGAACCAAGAAATTACAAATTATTATGCTAATTAGGAAATTAATTTGAACAGATTTTAACCCAAACCTAATCAGATTCTACATGTACCAATTTTATGTACCAATTTTCATTGAAATGGAATAAAAAGTACTGTAGATAAGTGTGAAAGCTTAAAATTGATTAATTATGCAAATTATGTAATTAATTGCCTAGTCCTAGAGTATCTATGTACCAAATTGCATTGGAATGTGATGATTAGTACTTGAAAAAACAGTGTGATAGTTAAAAACTGATTAATATGCACAAATATTTAATCAGAGCTAATCAAGTCTCTGCATATCCTAGAGGATCTATGTACCAAGTTTCAATGTATGATTAGTAGTTAAGATATCAGTGGAAAAGCTGAAAATTAACTAATTATGTAAATTTAGTTATTTTTATGTACAAATATATCCCCAGAAATAATCAGGTATCTGCATAGTTATTGGACATGTAGCTCAGTCGCGTTTGCAAACACCTATTAACACTATTAGCAGATACAGTTTATTGACTCAAGTGATTCTAGTCGTTAATTACCACGTGGCAGAACAACATCGCCTATCCGGACAAACAAGCCATCAGGAATACTGGTCAATAGGATCATGACCGTGGATAATTTTATAGGTTTTAATTAGGTCGGTAGAGTTGGAAGCTCGGCTTTCGCAGCCTTACAGTATAGAATATGTTTTGTATGGTTGAAACAGATTTTGGTGCACACATCTGAACACGTTCTATATCATCCTCTCTGTGAGTATGGCGAACAAATGCATGATGAATATTCCAAATTAGGTCGTATAAGTGGCTTGTATATTTGTTTGAATACATCTTCATTCATGTACTTAAAGGTGTGACAAAGACAACCAAAAATGCGGTTTGATTTAAAAACAATGTTGCTGACATGCTCAGAAAACTTTAGTTTGTTGTCAATAGTTAACACTCAAGACACTGCTTTCAACAAGTGAGTATTAGCATTAGCATTTTCCTGAATGGAAACACATTTCCATGTTTTAAGACCAGTTCTGTAGATAATGCTTAAGCTGAGCTGAAGCTGGGTTTGTAAGAGCAGGATATATCTTTTTGATCTTGTTCACTATGACCTTGCAGGCAATGTTAGAGATTCTGGTCGGTAATTACAAGCTTGTATGTGGGCTCCTTTTGTAATCACCATTGTCCAAGCGGGACTGAAAGATATAATTAATGCTTTACAAATTAAGGGTGCCATCGCGTTAACGTTATTTCCATGCTATAGGTCACCCATAATATCTTTGATTCTGAGATCATAAAACTACTTAGTGGCTCACCTTCCATGTGTTTCTGTGGGATGTCTGGTATATTTTCCATATTTTCGGTCACTTGTATTTTGAGTGCATGTACCATCCTTCTTAATTAGTTGGGTGATGCCGAGTCTAATTTTGCGTCTGCTGTTTACATACTTCCTGGCACTTTTATTGTTGTGATTACATTCTTTTCCAGTTGGAATTCAACCTCCTACCTTTTTGCATGTAATGTTCCGCTGAATGCTTGGCTTGAATAATTATTTGATAATCAAAAGTATCATGTGTATTACAGTATCTCATCCATGTTGTGTTCTTCCTTCCAACAATCTCTAAGAGATTCATGGACCATCCATATTGGTTTCCTGCGCGGCTTGCTGTCAGTATTAAAAAGCCCCCTTGGTATCTCTTTCTAAACCACTTCATTAATTTTACTTCCCAAGAAATCCATGTGTATTACCTGTGCTTCTTCTCAGGTTTCCAATATATGCCAAGTAATTCAGCCATCCTAAAATAATTGCTTTGTTGAATAAGAATGTGGTTCTAGTCATATAACAGGGATCAGTGTGAGTGGATCTTGAAATATAGACATAGATGTTCAGTCGCCCCAATGGGAGCTGTATAGAACAAAGAAGAACTATTGCCTTTTTCAGATTAAAATATCGAGTCATCACAGGTTAGGGATTGGCCTAGTAGCCTCACCACATTTTGGTAAAAATGGTATATATAATGCATTCAACAAACAAGACGGGGAATCAATACTGATTCCATGTGGAATTTTTGGTTCATGTCACCATTTGATGCAGTTGACACTAAAATCTACTGGTTAAATCAGTCAACATGGATACATATCTAAGAGTATGATGCAAATCATTATCACTATGCCTTTTAGCAGTTGCTGGTCCACCACTGCGACACACACAGACAATGACAGTTTTAGAATTGGGTTATTCAGTATGGATATATATCATCTCAATGTGTGTGGTAGATTCAAATGAGGTTTTGAAGAGGAAATGTTTCTCGTGTACATTTATTAGTGATATAACTCTGAACATCGTGTTTACCTCATTCCAAGTTGTCTTAGCACATACACCTGTTGGACTATCTTTCTGTTGCTGAATTGTGTAGTATGTGCCTTAGTGTTGTTAATGAAAAATACAAGCTTGGCAACCAAACTAAATTAAACTAATTAAATCAAATCATTTTTAATTAATCGCATCAAAATCGTTTGTAGATAAATATAAGTGAAGTTAGATAGATTATTTGATTCCAAATACAAATACTTGAGGAGGCGGCTGCTTTTGACTAACCATTTAAAAAGCGTGCGATTGCAGCGTAGAATTTACATGACTTCATTGCGGAGTGTATTTCCAAAGACGTCACTTGATCACGCATTTCAAAGCACATTAAATGCAGTGATATTCAATGCTGCTGAATCCGTTAAGAATGACACAGCTCCGCTCATATAACACTCGAAATTGATGACATGAATGTCAGGCCTGTATTTAAATTTGCATATAATAACTCAATAAAGAATATCGAAGTTATTAATATCCTCATACCAAACACTGATAAATAAGATTCCTAGTTACGTTACGTTAATGTTCAATGTTGAAGATGATGGTCAGTTGCAGCTACTATCTGCATGCTGTTGACTAGCCAATGCTTCACATTGTGTTTAATCGAACGTTATAATTATCATGATTCAGTAACGGTAAAAAACAATGTATTATAAAATAATGACAAATCCTAACTCGTCACGGCTCGCCATTAAAATCCAATACAGATTGACCATTTGCGTGAAAGCGACGTTTTTGTGTTTGAAACAAAAGTTTTTATGTCACCAAAAACATCGATAGAATCATTGGGACGGCTATGTTGTGAGTGACACAAATCCCGTTGTTTCAAGAACAAGTTGTATACCGTAATTAAAGTTGACTACAAGATCAATCAATAATGTTAACTCTGTTTTATAGAGCTCAAATCAAATATAAACTCCTACAATTACGAAAAAGGCTGCACGTGCGCACATATATATAATCCAATATAAGCGCTGTCTACGAACAATAATTGTGTCATGTATGTCATATTTTTAGATGCTACAAACTATATCTACAGACTCTTGTAAATTTGTCAGCTGTAATAAAAACATACCACAATCTTACATTGATATGTTTTCCAATTACATTTACCCATCATGTTTTTGTTACAAGAAAGATGCATACACTTGAAAAAGAAAATTGTAGATACCATCTGCCACGATAATCATTTGATTGGTAACTGACTTCATAGACAAAGTTAGGATATGGGAAAACGTTTGAAAGTTTTGTATTCGCTCTATCGCTCTCTCAACATTATTTCTGAGCCGAATGATTTTTCGCGCCTCTAGTATTTTCTTTTTATTAAGGCGCTTCCTCTTTCCTGAATTACACTTTCTAGTAAATGAAGGAGTGACAAGTATTGCTTTTCGTTTCAAAAGCAGTCCCTCAGTATTAAAACCGCGATGAGGTATGATTTTAACGCTGACTCAACTAGTTCAAAGAAACCATTGTTCATTGTAATAAATTAGTAGGATACATTGCCATCCCATAACTCGGATACAAATGCAAGTGTCAGGCATTTATATGGAGTAGACGAAGTTTGAATAAAAACAATCAATAATACCCCTGTTTACTTGGTCGCCGCGACTAGGGAAAAGTTTGAAAAAAAATAGCGCCATATAGGTTATCCAGATAGTAAAGATTTCAGTCGATCTTCTAAGTGTAGAAAACAAATTCTGAAATAATTGTTGGTCTTTCAGTCATCACCCGTCGAATCAATGCAATCCAATTTCGTTAAAAATGTTTTAAATCACGAAAAATTTTAATTAGTGGTGGGGATATGTTTTTTTTTTTTTATGGTATAATGGCGGCCGTTTTTGGATTTATGCTAATTGGAAAAAATACCCGATATGATTCATCAAGTGATATCTCAGCAGAATTCATTAAAACATTTTGTAGATCCAGTTGGTCACTTTGTCTGCCAGGCTAAGCCCAGAAATGTAAAAATAATTTCCATGAAAAGCATTCATAGCTTATTTATCAGATTATCTACGCCATCGCATCATAAATCCTGCTTTTTAGCTTTATACCAAAATAGGGTAGCATTTTGTTTAGTATAACTTGCATATATTAAAATAGTCAATTATTTCAATCAATCCCGAAGGAATAATATAATATTTGCTATAGAACAAGACTTCCTCAAATATATGTGTATGATTTGATGTGTGTCTTGTATGTATATGGATGGACATGTGTGTATGGGGGATTAAAGTTCATGAGCTATATATAGGAAGAGTGAATAATTAAGAATACTGGTATAAATGGATACACACACACCTATTTTTCAGCGGACTGCACTATATTCGTAGTCTCCAACCGCTGTAGCCAAAATATTGAGATGAACTGAACAAGGAAACACGGTTTCTTCATCTCGACGTTGACTGTATGTGTGAAATGTCACTACTACATCATGGTGACAGCGAGGCTCGGCTCTTTTTAGAACATTCCACCACGTAAGTACTAATTGTAACATATGTAAGCAATGCCTGGGATACAGATATTTTCAGACCGTAACCATTTTGGTTCCTATATTTACTAGTCATTGTGCTGTTTTAAGTTTTAACTAGTGGGCTGAAATATGTAGAGAATTTTAATATAAGCATGCAAACTGTATTTTATATAACAGGTTTGTGTCGCACAACAAACGGATCAACATAACAACAAAATGGCGCACACCATCATATAAATAGAACTCAGGTTCTAATGAGCATGGTCGCATTATTTTTTCTATGTGTAACTGATAACTGGATAGCACTGGGTATCGATCGCCCAACACGATCACGATATTTTAATAAGCGTTATGAAGCTTGACATGTAGTTGCTAGTGCTAGGATACGTTTACTAAGCATATGAAGTAATAAACTCTATATTCTTGTTTCCAGGAATCTACAGACACTAATGCATCTATTGAAAGCAAACACTGGTCCGGGATTTCTGGGAATGGCATACACTGTGATGAATGCTGGAATTTTGGTACGAATGTTATAATATATATCAGACATTTCTATGAATATGAATGTTATGTGATGGTGTGGTATTGACCGTATTTTACTCATTGTTGAGAAGCGATATTAAACAATATAACGCAGTAACAGAACCTGCTCGCACAACAACTGAAATTATAATGCAATTTGTCATGTTTATCAGACCATCAGCAAAATATTTCGACTGACCTCAAACATTTAGCATCGTATTAATGGCTGTACACGTTTATGAAATACTATTACGCAAAACGATGCATTTATTATTAGACAAAAACAAATAACACAGAATCAGCGACTAGAGCGTAGCCTTTTTGTATTGCGTTTGTATTGTGACCAAACCATTGTGATCATAGGGGTGGCTGGTACAATCACTTAGTTGAATATATTACAAACGCTATTTTGAAGAGTTCGCTCAAATAACAATTCATTAAAATCAGAATGAAAACAACTTTTTACAAATTTACAAATCAGATACTTTACAAAACATGCAGAACACTGTCTAACCTCATTTGAAAACCTAATACTGCATTTATATATGCTTTGATCGATTACAGTACAAACGTTATCTTTGTTCATTTATGTGCAGTGTTTCAAAAAGTCATGCCCCAAAATGTCATTAGAGGGCCACGTCAAAAATAACGTATATATGACCTGTTTCTTCAATAAAAAGACAGATATATGCAGCAAACTAAATAAACACACATTATGTGATTATTTATCATTGGTTTTCGATCGTTTATGCTGTATAAACATAAACGATGAACATACAAACACAACATCCTTACGAAATTGTGCTTACAGCTTGGACCAATAGCGTTAGTCATCATTGGAATTATATGCACACATAGTATGAAGATATTGGCTGACAGCAGTCACGCCCTCTGTAGGCGGTAAGTAAGTTATACTTCATAATCTACGTATTAGAAACACTACCGGTTTCGGTCAGGATGCAAGTAACACGTCTCTGATTAAAACTATTGGTTAATATCCTAAAGCGTGTTCCAGAAAAAATATGCAAGCAGTTGCACTCCACATTTGAAAGTGATTAAGATCTGAATGGCGAATGATTATTACGACAACTGAGAAAATATTGCAAAATACAAAAGTCAGTTCTACAAATACGTTGTCTTTCAAAGCGTGTGAACATTTTCTTTTTGTAATTTGAGCTACATGCGACATATGTGTGTCAAAAAAAATAACGAAAGTATACATGTATGTTTGTTTCATAAATGGGAAAATGTTTCTTGACTACGGTGATGTTACGCATGAGGCGATGCGGTTGTAGTAATAATCAAGTACGTTGGCTTTTAAGCGTGTGAACATACTCTTCTGTTTTTGTAATTTGAGCTACATGCGATATATGTGTGTCAAAAACAAAAATAAATAACGGTAAGTATACATGTATGTCTGTTTCAGAAATGGTAAAATGTTTCTTGACTACGGCGATGTTACGCATGAGGCGATGCGGTTGTCATCTGCAAAATGGTTTAATTCTTATGGCAGTGTAGGCAGGTAAGAAACTCATCCCGTTATTAAATCTATTCAACAATAACACGACGTCACATCACTGCGTACGATCGGGAATTGAATTGTGTAGATAATATGAAATATTAAAATATTTCATAACGTGAATATATTCAGAAACAAGTTGACGCAATAATTCTATTAACAATTTATCGCGTTAATGTGGTACGTGCGCAGCTGATTTATCAAACGCTGCGTTTTTATGGTTGGTAACGTAAACCAATTAATAGATTAATTGTGTTAATCAATTGTTTACTCGTATTTCAAAGCATCGTTTAAACCACAGTCCACTTGTTCGTGAGTTGTGTAAATCATTCGATTGAAACATACATTGAATCATTGAATCAAAGAATAGTTAATGTATTGATGGCTCCAAAAACACATTATGGCAAATATAGGGTAGTCTGAATTATTAACAAAATATTACAAGACGTTCTGCAATTACTTCGATACGCGCTCGAACGTTGTTACCAATGACTTGCAGAATGTGTGATTCGACTGTGGTTTGTCAATTCCTTATTGATTTTAATCATACTCTAACTGTCTTTTTTGTCACATCTTTCAGGGCAGTAGTGAATACGTTCCTTGTGTTTATTCAACTTGGGTTCTGCAGTGCATATTTCATATTTATAGCTTCCAACGTTCAGCAGGTATATATGAATTAGAACTTTATAACAAAATTGTTACTTACTCTAAACCCGTGTTATGTCCCATACAGCCGACAGACATACTAACCGAACCTACGATTTTGAAACTAGTGAACTTTACATTTTATTTACAGTTCACAATACTCAACCCCCTGTCTGTCAAATTATTGGTCAAATACCTGACACACCTGATGTTTTTGTGAATTCAGTGTCAAATAGTTATAAAATGAGAAAAGAGATGTTAGTTTATTCTGAAATAACATTACGTGCTGATGTTCAAGTAAAAGAACTTAAACTGCACTCTCATGATTCAACATCACTACATACATATGAATATAATCAACATTTAAACAGACACATTTTAACTTAAAGTTTGTTTGTTCATATTTGTAGGCGTACCACAATTTCCATAAAAACAACACTCCTGCGATACAAGTATTCATGGTCATATTTGCCGTCTTTATTATTTTATATTGCTATATCAGAAATCTGGATAATTTAGCAATTTGTTCAACTTTTGCTAACATTATAGTAGTAGTTGGAGTGATTATCATATATCAGGTACGTTTTTAGAAAGAAATACACGTGTAAGAAAAATATACAATACAACTGTTTGTGCGTTTTGTTCCCTCTGGAATCTCAACGCGATGATATGCAACTTGCAAAAAAGAGAGTTTCAAATCAAAGATAGCTTGCTGGCGGCCACAATTTCGCTTTATTAAAGCGGAGGAGTCGCCACCTACGCATGCGTCAGGTGGCCCTGGCGTGTCATTGTTTACAAACAAGCGTCTACCCATGAGCGTTTGCGTTCTTAGCGTATGTTGTTATCATCGCTAAGGACTCAATTACCGCGCGTGCACAGGTAACGACCCTCCCGCTTTAAGTTCACGTGTTATATTTTGTCGTACGTATTCGACAACTAATTTTATTGAGACTTGGTTCATGGGCGAAACATATTAATATGGCCAGGGTCAAGCTCATTTCTATTTACGCATTCAGACCTTCCCATGTTTCCACTTCATTCTGTGACACTATGAGTTAGAAATACGGTCGAGTCTCCCGTACGCAGAATGAGATCTTTTGAATTATAGTTTTCAGATGTTTACAGAGTGGTCTGGTGCAAACTATGTAGTTCTTGAAGTTCGAGCTGCATTCCAATAGTAACTATCAAATAAATAAATAAATAAATAAATAAATAAATAAATAAATAAATAAGTAAATAAATAAATAAGTAAATAAATAAATAAATAAATAAATAAATAAATAAATAAATAAATAAATAAATAAATAAATAAATAAATAAATAAATATTGATTTTGTGTTATGCATTCTTTCAATATTCAGCTTTTCCTATTGTTTATTAAAATTTAATAGAGTACACCATTATTTCTTATTCAATAATCGTTAACAAAATAAGGCCTAAAGTGAGGTTATGTATTATTTCGTTAACACTGTTCATAGACATTTAGTTTACGCTAGTTTTATTAAGAAATATAGTTTTCAAAACACTCGAATTGCGGTTTTAGAGATGCATTGGTAAAATAAAAAATCATTATGACCATTGAAAGTGTGGTCTGATTTATCACACTGAACTGCAATATCAAACTATCTTATCATAACAGTACCTTATCCATGGAATTGCTGAGAAAAGAACAGATGTGAGTTCCTTACCACTTGCAAGAAATATTTCGAATTTGCCATTATTTTGGGGACCAGCAATATATGCATTTGAAAGCATTGGAATAGTAAGTAATAACTATGACAAAGTAATACCTGCTTTATTACGTGAATCGTTTTTCATATTCGACGTTATGTTAGCAACATGACATACGACAACATTCATGGATTTATTCCAATACCGTGTTGTTGCGGCTGTTAGTTTTAACTGTCAACGTTTTACCAAGTCGGTTTTCAATGTTCAGGCTTTTCCCATTTCTTATCTTAGGTACTTCCAGTCGAAAATAAAATGAAACATCCACATGATTTCAAGAAAGTTCTCTACACTAGTATGTCTATTGTGACGACTGCGTTTGTTACTTTTGGGACCCTTGGATACCTGTGCTTTGGTCCAGGCGTCTTGGATACAATTACACTGAATCTACCAGAAGATCAGGGGTAGGCTTTCAGAGAGATACATTTTCAATATTATAATATATGTCAACGTTAGTAATTTCCTAGATTGTTAGTAATAAGCAGGGGATATCAGTTAGGTAAAAGGTGATCAAAATATGTTGTTTTTTTTTCGCTCATTAGGTAAAGCACCGTAATATTTACTAAAGTTACTTATATACTTTATGTGCATTGATGTTGTATTAATAACTTTAATTTACAAAATTCCTAATAAAAGGTAATCAACTGTAGTATGAGAACATCGCTTGTAATATAATCATTGTTACTCGCAGCTGCGTTCACATGCATTTATAACTAACTTTCTATGGGAATATATCGTAACACACGTCAATATTTCTTGTCACCCGTTAACGTGATTGCCCTTTATAAACTTAATAACAATCCATTTAATATAGAACATGGCATATTATTCTGTATATAGTACAGTACATTGTATAAATAGTGAGCAAAAAAAAAACGTTTATAATTATACCAGTAATTACCAGTACAGTCAGCTGGCGTACAAGTGATAATATGACATAACCCCACACCCTCCCCATGGCTTTCGTTGCGTATGGAAGTTATTTTCACGAGTGATGCGGTGTATCCTGCGGCCGTACTTTCACGAGTGAGCGAAGTTAACTTCCATACGCAACAAAAGCCAGGGGAGGGTGTGTGGTTCCGTTATTATCACATATGTTCCATATTATTGTTTATTTCATATTAAAAAAAGAACGTGCAAGCATGCCGTGCAACTGCGGTACACCACTGACGGGTTGACTTTCATCGACAGTGGTCGTCGCTGAGCGGCACCCTACAATATCGTTTGTGATGTTGCAGCTGGTCGTGGATTGAACGAGTCTTGGTTGCCGGTTATAATGTTGCTCATTTGGCGTTAGTAATCTTTATTTGGAACTGAGTAATGTCGCCAGCAGAAACCTCCCGGTATCTCGATGTTGATGGTTGCGGCTCCATAGTAATCGCTGATTTCACTGCGGGTGGGTCATCCGAAAGCCCTTCATGGCTTATAAAACTCGTAGTATTCCATGTGATGTACACCTAATATGCCAACAATTTCGCTGAACGATTTGAACCGGATAAAAATTGCAGACGAAAATGTGTTTACAAAATAAAAATGGAAATGCCATGTATTGCATGGGTGATATGCAAATTAGCTTTAGTCAAAATAAGTGACTGCATAAAAATACCATTACTGTTGTTCAAATGTTTGTTTATTTCTTCATCCGGGATATTATCGTAAGCTGAGGCAAAACGTAACGCTTTGCTTAATAGATCCACGCTTATCACTCACGCCAAACAAACATTGTTGATCCACAATCAATCGCCAAACAAACATTGTTGATCCACAATCAATCGCCGTGGCGAAATAGGGGCTCCAACACGTTTGATGTCACAATGGGAAGTTACGATGGCGCAGAGACCTGTGAACTTGTGGGCTGCTTCCTGCTTTCACAGCTCAAAGCACAGTTAAAAAAGAAAGTCCGCATCGGTCTATACAGAGATGATGGCTTAGTCGCCTTAGACGCCACACCCAAAGAGACTGAAAAAATCAAAAAAAGCTATCTGTCTCGTGTTTAAAAACAACGGCCTAAAGATCACGATCGAAGCAAACAAGAAAATTGTAAACTTCCTTGATGTCACGCTAAACCTCATTGAAAAATCGCACAGTCCCTTCATAAAGCCTAATGCCAACTTGGTATATGTACACAAGGAGAGTAATCACCCACCCGCCATCACAAAGAATATCCCGGCCGGCATTAACAAGTGTCTTTCTGCAATATCGTCAGATAAGAAGATTTTTGACATCGTGGCACCACCCTACCAAAGAGCTCTACGCGAAAGCGGCTACAAACACCAACTAAAGTTTGAGCCCCCACGGAGAAGGGTAAAAAAAACGGCCGCGTAGCAACGTCCTTTGGTTCAACCCACCATATAGCTGCAACGTCCGCAACAGTATAGGAAAGCGATTCCTGGATCTAATCGACAAGTGCTTTCCTACCGGCAACAACCTCAAGAAAATATTTAACAGAAATACAATCAAAGTCAGCATCGAAGATACCATCAATAAGAAAAACAAACACCAACTCGCGACCGAAAATAACACTACCACTGACGAAACAAATTATGCAATTGCCAGAAAAAAAAACATGTCCACTAGACGGGAAGTGTTTGCAGTCTGGCGTCGTATACCAAGCGGAAGTTACGCGTTTAGACAAACACACCAGCGAAACGTACGTTGGACTTACTGGTAATGAGTTCAAAACAAGATACAGAAACCACACGGCCTCATTTCGCAATCAGGCCTCCAGAAATGCGGCAGAACTAAGTAAACACGTCTGGTCACTCAAAGAAAAAGATATTGAATATAAAAAACAATGGAAAATGTTTGCTCGCGGTAGCCCGTATAATATATAGCAAACGATGCATTTTACGTTTGAAGGAAAAATTTATCAATTTTTAGACCCCACCACTCCACACTAAACAAAAGGATCTGTGTCATCATGCCGACACAGATCAAAAGCTCTAATATTTAACAATTAGACTTTCTATTTAATTTTAATTAATATGTTAATTTGCGAAGCTTATAATGTATGCTCTTTGGTGCAGTGAATTATTAAACATAAAGCTTCTGATGAGTGAGGTACTTGTATCTTACGAAACAGTGCTGTCGAGTTTCAATATTCATGTAGTTGTATATTAATTTCTCTATCACCGTATTCACCCGCTCTACATATACTTTGTATTGAGCACTTTTGTTTTGGAATAATCGACTTTCGTATCTACACTATATATATATTATATATATCTTTCCCTTTTGTTTTGATTGTTTGTTTTCATCTTTTTCGCCCGTATTATTATTACTATTGTTTGAACTGCAGTAAATTTACTTCCGATCTGGTGAACGCAAAAAGACAACTTAAGATAACATTAATCGTTTATATTGTTTACTTTTTAGACTCTATATTTCCTTGAAGATATTATTCTCCATGGTGATGTTTGTCAATTATGGTTTACAATTCTATGTAATAATACAGATAACATGGCCATGTGTGCAAGAGTATGTACCAGAGAATTATCGAGTATTCGGCGAATATGTAATCCGAACAACACTTGTTCTAATCACATGTAAGTATGCATCTACTATTTTTCCTTATCTTTCATTGTCAACGGTTTTATTACTAATTAACACATTCAACGCAGCAGCTATTCCCCTCCAATGGTTGCGTGGCACTTGTCATGTTTGTATATGTATATTTCTATAAGTTGTGTGTCAATATTTATCTAATTACTTTCCAATGGCTTTATAGTTGCTAACATTTATTTGGAAACACATGTAAACGTTAATTGAGCTTTTAAAGGTTACAATTAATCTGTTGCTATAATTTCACTAGATACTTTCATTTGCGTGACATATTTTTCAGTGGTATTTGCAGCAAGTATTCCACACCTGGGTCTGTTCATCTCATTGGTTGGATCATTTGCAGGCAGTGGCCTAACTCTGATTTTTCCGCCAATCATCGAAGAACTTACATTTTACAATGGTTACAGAGAAACAACGTCAAGATTGAGACTGACAAAAAATGTTTTAATAGTTGTTTTTGGAATATTGGGATTTATATTCGGTACTTTTGCGTCAATTGTAAAAATAATTTCTGCATTCAAATTCGTGCCAGATATGTGTATGCTAATTCTGGATAATTCAACAATGATTAATGCAACGGCAGTACCATCCTGCCTCCTTTTTAAGAACTCGAATATTCATTATTAACTGACATTTTACGATTTTAACAAATATCTAACTAGATAATTTAAATGACAAGTTGTATAGACAACATGGGATAAACACAAGGCAAAGTCAGTAATTCGCGATTGTTGATCATAGTCGTATAGCCTACGCGTCGCAATGCGTTAGTATCCTAGGACTTTAGAATCATCAGCAAATTAATGATGGCAATAACTTTTTAGTTGTCAAAATAATTTAAATATTGTTAAATTATTTCATGGTTGTGATATCGATGTTATCTAACACACAAGAAAGGTGGGATCGTGAGATTTTCGGCTATACGCCGGAAATAGTGTGAATCTCATCTAAACTGAGTTTATTATATTAACTAACACGGGGCAAGCATGTGTTGGCAACGTGTTTTATAAAACGACTTGTGTGTATGCAGTATACACGATATATTTGCGATGTATTCCTCTGTTTTTCATTCTGTACTTTTAAATTATTGTACTTGTGGTTAATCACAAAGTAATCTGCATGCGATCAGCTATAATTTAGAACTGGACATCTCTCAGATTTCTGTAAATTAGTGGATGCTGCCACACAAATCTGACAAACACTTCATGATATAGTTTATTTGCAAACGGTCGCCGAGAGCAGGTTAAGGTGGAGGGGGAACTCCTTTTGTGTTTACCCTCTATGGTCATTTAGTCCACCGTTCCTCTTAATTATATATATCTGTGATATTTGGAAGAGTGTGGGTACAGAATAGTACACTATTCGGGGAGAAAGAACAACTTGAGTCACGTGGTTCTCTCATATTTCATGCTCACAAGTATTAAACATATTTAATTATAATCATTGATTTGCACAATTATTATTACCCACGCAAAGAAGCAGCGCCACCAAACACATCATCGATTTCTCCCTCTGCGAATTCTGCAAATTATCTGTAAACGTTAGATAAACCATTGCCACTTTCTAGCTGTTAACGTTTACCGTTTTCTTGAGACTGTTCTTGGTTTGTTTAGCTGGTCTTTAGTACACTGTTTCCACTTCTTGGTATTTGGTTCATTTATAGATGACTACTAATTTATAATGCCCATCTGAATACGACCCTTCGAAGTCAACTGGTGTGACATCCCATAGTTTCCCTGTTTATGCAGTTGAGCAGTCACTTGCCATTCATTGCATTGCATTAGTCTAAAAATCGACGCTTCTGCTGTATATAATTCATAGCTTATGTAGATACGTGTGATGTCTGTATCCGTTTTATGCTGCTCCCAGTCATTTCTAAAACTAACACAGTTTTTGTCTTCTGTTTTTTTCTTTGATCCGGTTAACCACTATTGCATTATTCCTCAACTATTAATTGTTTGATGATTTTCTCTGTAGTATCTGTGCCAGTTGTGCATGTCCATGACTCATTTCTCTATCCTTGGTGATATTTTCGATGTTGCTTTGTTAATCATCGGTAGTAGCGGTGTACTTTAATGATTGTGAATCTGTTGAAACAGACACATGCTGAAACTGTACTTTGCCAATGCCATTGCTAAAGCATCTTTATCTTTTCTCTTTTTGATTATATGTTTTCTTGAACAACCCAGCGGATAGTCATTAATGGTAGCAAGCTTCAACCCCTAATATGATTGGTTTTGTACCGTTTATTGAAATTGCTATTACCTTACAAACCATACAAAGTATCAAAGTAATATCAAAGTAGAAACTAAATATGCTAAAAACATTTCCTAAAACAAATTGAAGATATCAAAAAATTTAAGATATCACAAAATGGACAAATCTGACATGGTCCATCCAAGGTACTATTCACACAAAATTGCGAATAGAAGATATCGTCATGAAATGATCAAACCTGACAGGAGTTAACGCAATGCATGTGCCTTTAAAATATCATCACTAGACGTCAGTAAAACATTTTAAAAGATTCTGGTTGATACTTTGCATATTGTTTGGCGGATCGTCTTCTCATGCTCAACTCCCATCTACACATCAGGGCAGGTGCACAATAGAAATCAAATCAAAAGGTTCAGTAATTATTGAGGAGAGACCGCCTACATATAACCAGACAGCGGACAGATTGTATACCAAACTAACATTATTATTTTATATTATCAAAATGTTGGGGGGGAAATCTCTTTCAACTAATAAAGCATACATTTCACTGCTAAACAAGGATTTTTCACAGCTGCGTAAAATATTCTTCAATCTCTCAATATCAATACAACTGAAAACTGACAAAAATTAGTACTGCAATGAAACCGAATTTAAACGAATACACTGTTTCAAGTACCGTTTTTGTGTCAAAAATTTCCCTCATTAACAAAAAAAGTTTTAGCAGACCACAACTTCTCAATTGTCCAGGGATCCTTGAACGAATGATGCAAATATGCCATCTTCTTTCTTAAGTAGATTTTCTGGTGTATCATATTCCACAACCCTGCCATCACTGAGTACCACCACGGTGTCTGAATCAAGAATTGTTGATATACGGTGCTGAAATACAATAAATGTAAACGACATGAAAAGCAAGCCATCAATTCTACCATACCAATTATACCTACACTGAATCATATTGAGAATGATTATTGCGGAATGCCATCAATTGTAGAGATGATATAAGCATGCAAACTTACAGCAATTGTAATAACAGTTCTGTCAGCAAACGCAGTAGCTACCACATCCTGCAATAACTTGTCCTAACAATAAAAACGATAACAAATTATGAGTTTCTGCCTTAAAGCGTGATTCAATATTGCTTGGAAAATTGCTACATTCTGGCCATTTAAACACTGGTATCAACAACAACTGCTCATGTACCGTTTTGAGATCAATAGAAGCAGTTGCCTCGTCCATTAAGAGAATACGAGATTTTCTCAGGAATGCTCTAGCAATGCAGAATAGCTGCCTCTGTCCAAGACTAAAGTTCACACCATCTTCTGAAATGTCAGCATCTTTTACAGAAATTAAAAGAAAAAAACTGTTATTGATGCTAGCATAGGTCGTATTCATTCACTTATTGTTACTTTGTTTCGTGTATTTTGCATTAGAATGCTCAGTCTGTAGATCACACCATGCTGTCATAGCCTTACTTACCCAATTGCATATCAAGCTCCGTTACAACTTGTTTCAATTGTGCTATCTCTAAAGCTTCCCATATCTCATCATCAGATCGTAAGTTTTCTGGATCAAGGTTGAATCTATAGCATAATTCAATTAATTAGTTATTTGGCTAATAAGCCCATATATTTAGCATAATAGTTATGTAAATATTTTAAAACCATGATGCTGCCAACAATTCATTATGCGTAACATGGTTTGGTTTGTTGGTCGTACCTATAAAACAAATCGTGACTTGCTCGTCTGGCCTACAGCGTTTCGATCATTGTGTGTTTTCAATTGTGAGGATAGTCAAAAAAGCGCAAATGACCATGTAAAATCTTAGATAATGGTACGGCACATGCACTGCCGCATTTGATTCTATAACTGAACTTTTAAGTGTACGGAATGCCTAAGTTACAGACATACTTAATTCGTTTTACTACTTTTGCTACGTTAATAAATCAACTGGTGATACACACAATTACCTTATTGTTCCTTGAAACAGCACGGGGTCCTGTGGGATGATTGATAATCTCTTGCGAAGTGTTAGTAGAGGGATGTGTGATATATCTACACCATCTATGAGGATACGCCCTGAATTTAACAATAGGTGTCGATATGATTTACATACCTACATTCAAAATGTCTCCATAGTGATAAAAATATATTAACATTGTACTAACATTGAGTATATACATATATAATATGTATTCGTATGTAATTTGCCTAAAGATCAACTCAGAGTCGTATGATAAAGCCGAATAGTTAGAATTAAATGCAGGCTTCAACATACATGTACATTAATGTGCATAATTACCTTTAAATGTATCCACAATCTGAAATAATGACGCGGCCAGTGACGATTTTCCACTACCAGTACGGCCACATATACCAACCTAAAAATACAGAGTGTATGACAATGATGTCAAGATGTAATATACGTTATTTTGCGTCATAATCTGACACGGTGTTATATTGAGTCGGTGAAAACATACTCACCCTCTGTCCACCTTTAAAGTGTATGGAAACATCACGCAGCACTGGTTCTAAGCTTGGATCATAGCGCACAGATATGTTCTCTATTTTGATGTCACCATCAGTAGGCCAATCAGGAGGTGGGTTATATACACCTGTAAATAAATGCAAGTCAAGATTGGTTACTAGTGACTCTGTTTAGATTGCAATGTATTGTTGATCGTCACATTAACGTTAAATGTTAATGTCAGTCACATTTAAAACTGCTACATGTGTGATTGAGAAATCGTCGGAAACTATTTAATTGAACAGAGACTTAAACACTTAAATGCTTGTTATATTATCATCCACGGTACCACTGGACAGCCTTGAGATCAGTATTGCTCAGGTATTCTTCACTCAACTTAATCACCAAACACATTCTGTTTTCGTTAATTGATGATTCATTGTCATTATACTTCTCATTTGCATCTGCCATATATATATATGTACCTTCATATTGCTCCGATTCTACATTTGTGTAATAGCGTATTCGTTCCACAGCATTCATCTGCATTTCACAGTCGGCCGTCGACCGTACCAATATGGCGCTGTGGCCGGAAATCTACACGCACAAAGGAATAATAGTTTATTTGCTAGAGAGTGAGTGAGTGATATTCTGTTCAAACAGGTTATTGAAGCCCAGAGTATTCACACGCGTCGGCCATTTGTGGCGTATAAAGTACAGTGAGTGTAAAACACAATGTTTCCAATGAACACTTCACAACTGTGTTGATTTAACTTGCAGGCTATGCAAAGTTAGTTCATATTGCGTAATGTCACGTTTCCAACGCGCGCCGACGACAATGTTCGGTTTATGACATACATATTGAGTGAATTATTTGATGATTAGTAAGTGAAAGTAAAATAGAGCGTTCGTTTCTTGTACGTGCGTATTCCTACACAATATATCACGTGAAAACGGGACCGACTAACAACTGATACGAATTGGAATTTACTATCGGCATTGTAGACATATATTTTGCAAACTACATACATTATATATTACTTACAGACAACGCATAAGTCAAAGCCAAGCCAACCAAACTTGGTTCAAGTTCTCCAAATAGCGCGGTTAGTAGACCCGAAAGACCAGATATTAGAACTACTACTGCACCAATGAATTCCTGTGCAAAAAACAAACAATAAATCGCATATTACATACATGTACACTTCTGTGCTTATAATTATCAATGTAAGAGTGGAAATAATTTATTCATGAATCACACACTGGTCGTGTCAAGCTGATAAAGTGTATTGATAACATACCAGTCGTACTCCCATCCATCTATTGACTAGGGTTAAGCAAACCATGGCTATATTATTAGTATCGACCGATGTGTGTAGCTGACGACGAAAACGTTTTTCATTTCTGTGAATAAACACATTTTTATTAGCTATTGATTTTTACACTTTCAAACAAAACGCCATTACACATACTGGATATAATTAGCAACACATCATGTTGAAAGAGCGTAGACAATGACGAATCCATACTGCTTTTTTTTAAATCTACAATCATAACATTACCTGTATGCTCTAATGGTGGTTAGTCCTTCCAATGATTCGCTGAAATGAGCAAACACCGGAGATCTTGAAATACTGCCAAGACGCTGGAGTTCCCTGGAATATCAAATATTGCGTTTATCAGATATTGCACCCATCATTTTAGAAACCTGGCTCGAAGGGTTCGTCATGGAGAACCGTAATTCAATCGATCGGTGATTTTTTTTCTTGATCCTAGTTAATGTAGGAGTATGTGTATTACACCTTAAGGACTACTAAACCCTAACAAAATCTGTTCGTACATAACAAATAATATAAACGGAACGTTCATAGAATGTATGTTCACTTCTCGTGCATATGCATGGCCAGCATAATGAGTCATTACTACACTTTAATTTTACAAGACATACGAGACTGACAAAAACAAAAAGACACGGCAGTCCACTTGACAAATGTTCAAATAATCATAAATTTGGCATACATTCGGGACAGCTAATATGGAATTGTAAGGCCCCCGAGATCCATTATATTGTTAGACTTAAACATTAGGATGTATCCAACTGTCACACACTCTGTGATGCCAAGATGGTCTCGAAGCAAAGATACCTCCAGATGATTAACATGGTTTTCACTTGCGGAATTAGATACTACTATTGCTATGCTTTAGTGGAGCGGAATGCTGCATATACATTGTAAGATGGGGGGGAGTATGTTTCAAGTATATATATATATATATATATATTAGTGTGAGATATTAACATACCGTGCAGTGGATATGAAGTATCTTTGTATCAGTATATAAATAAGAAACAAGGGTGCTGCACCTGCTATAAAAATTGGAGATACCACAGCGTTTACCACAATAGCAGAAATAAGGACCGAGGCATTGCTCAGTATGCTGAACATCACCATCCACAAGCGCTGCATGGTAAATAAGAGAAAGCAAACACGTCAACTTACACTCTTATTATGATTAATAATATGGCGTAAATGAGTCGTTTTCCCACTTTTTTCTACAGTGCAGTTAATAATAACAATAAATTTATTTTTCGTCTAACCTGATCAATGATATTTGTATCATTTGAGAATCGGTTCAGCACGCGCCCAACTGGAGTTGTGTCGAAGAATCTCATCGGTGCGTGAATGATATTACGTAACAGCTTTATGTGCACTCGTCTTGCACCATACAGGGAGAACATGATTTGACAACTTATAGCCACCAGTGATATCCCGATATAAGAGAAGGATAATGCTGCATAACCACGTATATAGTACGTCAATTCGTCATCCAAGTCTTCCTAAAAACATACATATATACGCATATTATAGGCTTTGTTTACATTCTGCGCGCATGCACATGCGCAGTGACTGGTTGGCAAAAACCGGTCGTTCGCACTCGTTGTTCGCTGCTGTTGTTATTAAACATACATGTATATATTCATGTTAATAAAACATCTTAGAGAAAATGGTATCCCAGAAGATCGCGAGCCAGTGTTGATCTGTGAGCTATATTTGTTCTCACACATGTACATTCGCATGGCAGAAATGTAAACATATGACGCCACAGTGTAACATAGTTAGCAGTAATTCCAGAACTGCGAGTTGAAATGGCTATGGCGCATATGCATATTAATGCATATTAATGCATATTAATCATCAGTGAAAATATATGCACTATCAAGTGTCCAATTATTCGTTTTTAGTGAACAAATGGCAACACATGGTCAATGAAGAATCGACGATAGACATTAACGTGTATTGCAAATTTAATTTAGTTGGTGCCACCTTTGCTCAACCACATTTAGTAACTTACCTGTGTTTTATTAGCCGTCTCAGAGCCAGATTCAGACCAAGCCGATAGCCAGAAGTTTGTAAGAATAAGCATAGTACCTTGGGCAACGTACAACAATAGCGTAAGACATGTTAGCGAATACTTGATAGCCTTTGCATATGAAAGATAAACTTTCAATGAGACCGAGCCCACCTCCCGTTCCTCTTTCTCCATCAATGTACCAGCTGCACCTAAGAATACATAGTTATAGGTTATATGTGTGCATATATAACGATGGAATGTCATATTCGAAGGGGGCAAGGGGGGGATAGCTGGTACAGGTTACAGGAAATAAAAAAATGCATTTTACGTTTTTACAGAAAATAAAAAGGAAAGTTCCATTTACAGTAAAAAATTGCCTTTTACACTTTACAGATAAAGCAAATTCCAAATTACATTTTTCATTTTTATAATATACTTGTTCATTTGTGTTTAAGAATCAAAATTGGAAATTGCCTACGAATTACAACATTTAATGTTGAAAAGGCTGTATACGCTTAGAAAAAATAAGATCTTTGTACAAATTACGGACGAATAAAATGACTGAATACATTTCACACCTTGTCCATGTCTACAAATTTACGTTTTTTTATTTATCTGTATTAAATTATTACGAAAATAAAAACAATTGATTATTATTACAATATGTATTATTCGCACTTGATAATATGTTTTGTGAAAGTGAACTGCAGAGACCCCAGTATTCGGTTGTTAATTCTAATCAATAGCGATAAATACATATATACCTCATAAATATATAATATTACTCACTGTCGTCCTGTCTGTGTTGTTCATGTTTTCCTGTGACTTGTTCAATTAATTTTAGTCTTTCTAGCTTGGTAGTTTCTTCACTTGAGTCATCGTCATCTTCGGAATCGCTGAGAAAACTAATCCGTTTTTCCCAGACGGCATACAGGTTGGGATCGCGTTTTCGTATTTCATTCAAATTTCCCTGATCTGCTATTGTACAGTTATCCATCGATATCACCTGCAATGAGATATGCCGAGACGTGCAACTGTATAGCACATTAATATGTAAGGTAATAACAAAACAAACTGTGTTAATTTTGTTTCTTATATGTCATGCAAAAACGCCACGGGTGCAACCTGATCGTACTATGTTTGCACGTCCTGGCTGTGGGAACAACAATCACATTGATAGGTAGCCATAAAGTAAATGTGGATGGAGTTATTAAAATCAATACCTCGATAAAGATAGGCCAGTCTTACTAACCGTGTCTGCATATTTCAAATACTGCAATTGATGGGTAACAAGAATCACTGTTCGTTGCTCTCGTTTTAGAAAGCCGAGAATGCCTTCTTTCATTAGTTGTGAACCAACGTGAACATCCAATGCTGAGAACGGATCATCCTAGTGGTAATAACGAAACATGTACAGTGAATATATAATAACACATTAATTTATGTTTCAAATATGAGGTCCCTAATTTTCGTTAAATTTCAGGCATAGCTTCATGGTCTAATAATTAGTAATATGCAAAATTGACGACATTTAAAGTATATTCTTTTATATAGTAACGACTTTTTTCTTGAAACCTACTTCATCCATTTTTATCTATCAAAATTAGTAAGTATAAATCAGAATTACTATTGTTTTAGCATTACTCAATACTATATTAGACATGTGGTGGCTACTGTAACAATAATTGAATCTGTTACAATATCATCGGTGAAACGTGCAGCTATATCATCAATTCTTATCATTATGCACAATTTTAAGATTAGTACTTGTTATTCTGAAAATATACCTTGACTCGAACAGCTGGATTACGATTTGACGTACAATTATAATTACTTGTTATGATCATGGTTATGTTTGTGTTATCGGGTTCAGGGTTGGTGATGCCGGATGCAGTTTTGGCGGAGTGGTTCGTCGTCAGTGGAATGATTGACACTGTCTGGGTTCAATTTTGGGTTATGTTTCTTAGCTTTGAGAGTACCTTCTGGAAATCGCATATGTGATATTCTAGCAGCTCAACAATAATTACACAAGTCGCTGCCAGTCGTTTTCATCATTTATAAAATACCACACACCCAGAGGTGCACGTTCCAGGGTCTAATTGTACGTCAGCACAGAGTGGCGAGTCTTTGTTTTCCTTACGACTGCCTGACCGTCGTCTTGCCCGCCCACCGTCTCATCCTTCACCTAGTCATCATCGCAGTGGCCCAATCAACTGTCCTGTCGTCAACCGAGTAGTCAAACTGTCTCAACAACCTTGTTAAGTTGCATTGTTGGATAGATCGTGTTACCGTGAGATCACTACACTCTCCAGTGTAATAATGTGAAATGGAGTGCGCCCGCATCAGCTAAGTGAAATACAATTTGGGCAGCAATCTCAGACTGGTGACATGGTACTTTTTCAAACATGGAGTGACCATACTCCATTGAAAGTGTCCTCGCTCGAGAGTAACCAAGGCAAGATTTGCGGACAATCGAGCCCTAATAATTATTGTCCATGTTGATACCTAGATACTGTTGTCTACACCTCAATCATTTTTTTTACATGTGAGAACGGTGGGTATCTAAGATTGGTAAAACGGGCAGTATCTTGGTTCTTCGGTAGGCGATAAAATTTCAAATTTGAATATCTTGTAGCGTTTGTGTCCATTTGATTCGAAATATATACACTATGTAGAGTGAAAGATGTTTGGTGTGTTTTAAACTGGTGATATCAGAAGTGTTAAACACTCGAGTAGGCTCATTTTGTGAAATGTTACTTGTAATACATTATATGGAGGTTACTTCAGTTTAATTATAAATTTCGTTATTTATGTACAGCCTTGCAAATTTTGCAAAGCGTTCGCAAAAATAGCATTTTGCATTGTAATCTGTGTGCTTTTTTAGTACGTTTCAATCGTCGAAGAGCTTCAAAATATGACCAGTGTGAGGCCAAGAATGTATACATATAATAAAAGCTAAGACATTTTTTTCAAGGTAGAACAGCGATAAAACGTGTTAAAAATTCTTATGTAATTCAGAAAATTTCTTAAAGTTTTAAGCATGCTACTTTAAAACCTATATATCATCTAAAAGCTCATATACAGGCGAATACGATAATGTAATGTTTCTCCACGGAATTACCTGACAGCCAATTTCGCTATCATGCCTCTTTTATTATTCCGACTACTGAAAACATGTTTTAACATTTGTAGTCACGCGAATGATAAAGATGTAATCTGGAGGATCGCGGTTTACTTTTATCTGTTTACTAGTTACCGACAAATAATTACAGACATGTTACCAACAATAAAGTATAGGTTATATATAAAAATATGTTATCAACAAACAAACCCTGTTGCTAACCTACCTAGGGGTGTGAATATTCATAAACATTCATATTCATATACATTTTCATGCACTTGCATGTGAATAACAATAACATCTGAGTAACTATTTGATTCAGTAATTAATCACTAATTCACTGCAACCTACCATCAGTACTATGTCCGACTTATTGTACAGAGCACGGGCAACACTTATTCGTTGTTTCTGTCCTCCACTGAGATTTATTCCCTTCTCACCAATCTCTGTCATATCTCCAGCCGGTAAGATATCTATATCTGGTCGCAACGCACATGCATCCAAAATAGTGTTGTACCTTTATAAAATCGAAAATAATACACACGACATGTTTATGTGACAATATGTCACTATATGCAGTCATGGAAAAGAAGTGGGCGGTCGTTCATAGATTTATAAGCGTTTTAGAAGAGCATAAGGGATGTATCTTGTTTTTTGAGTATGTCAAGCTTGCACATACAATACAAAGTCGAATACACGACGCCTCGATGAAACATTGTTAAAACTTACCGTGTATGATCCATTGGTTCTCCAAACAAAATATTTGCACGGAGTGTGCTATTCTGCAACCACGCCCTCTGTGGACAATACGAGATGATATTTCTTTTTCTGTAATGAAAAAAAAAATATTCACAAGGGATAGTTATGCACTATCGCGATAAGATAAATCGGGCAATTAAATATTTAATAATAATTACAAATGAAGTACACAAACTGAGAAAATATAATAATTTCCATTGAAATAAGAACATTGGCATTACACACATACCTTTACTACCGATAACATACGCCGATTATTAAATGTGTGTATTTAATACACATACTTGCCTGTTGAAATAAATATTACCAGCCAGAGTGCTCATTTCTCCTAAGATCGCTGATAGCAAAGATGATTTTCCAGCGCCCACCATACCAATAATGATTGTCAAAGTGTCTTGGCATAATATTGAAAATAGAAACAAAAATGAGTAGTGTCCACACCACTGATTCTACGTGGTTGGTACTTGAGTCTAGTTTTATGAGTTTTGATCCTAATATCATAACATTGAAACGTGTGTTTTTTTAACAAGATCTCAATATATCGAGTTAAATATCCATTGTCTGATCATTTTGGGTGTACATATTTAACATACCTATGGGAACTTCAAGGTCAATATCGTGAAGAATTGCCACATCAGAGTCAATGTCCCAGGCAAAATGTCCACCACTGATCTGCAATTAATGACATATATATCAAAATAACTAAACAGTAAACATGTAAAAAAAATGCTGATCAAATACAGTTGTAGTATCACTTCATGGTTATGACTGCAATTGTCTTTACATTTGTTACCATTTTCTATATTACCTAAAGAATGAATAATTATCAAATACAATAAATCTAATAATTGAGATGGCATGAGAGAATATCCATTGTTCTATACATCCTTATATCAGTCAAAGAGGGTTGCAATAAAACCAACTTCATTTGTGGAAAGTTTACATATATCTATCACGTTATTCATAAAAATGTGCATCAAATGATTACTATTATGTATCCCACTTACCTGTATTGATAAGTGGTCTGGGAGATATGTTGTTGGTATGGTGGCTTCACTCAGCGAAGTTTCAAATGTACCATATGATGATGATTCCCGATTGTCCAGTAAATTGCGAGTTTTTTCATCTGTAATCTTGAAATTGTTTGAACGTAGTTATAAATTAAAAGAAATAATTCTATGTTTTGGCTCGTCTCTATTCTGAAAATTTGCCTTTCCTTTCCTTGTCCCAAACTGTATCCGTTTACTATGTTTTCTCAACTGACAAGACCATATTCACTAATGTTCGCAGATAACGGGGTTGCGTAGATCGAAAACTCATTTTATCCACAATTATCAATGTCTTGGCACTAAAGTGTACATATTAAAGATAATAAATACACGCATATGGCAAATAATATGTAATAGTTAAAATAAAATATCATTGTATGAATGAAATGTGAAAACTTAAATAAAATCACAAGGTACCTCGCACAGGGGTAAAACATACCTTAAGATTTCCACCACTCTTACGTGATTGGTTGGCAACGTCATCTTCTTCGAGTCCATCGTCGAAAGGCGGCCGACCGTTATCGTGCTTTTCGATCTCGGGTGATGCAAAAAAACTCTGCAGTCTATCCATGCTGACTATAGCGTTTACTAAAACTTGAACAGTGGTTGGTATAAGCATCATTGGTATAACCAGCAGATTGAAAAGAGCCAACGAGGAGAATGCCACTTCAGGCGTCAACGGTGTGGGACTCACGGCAGAATAGACAGCAAATGACTGAATGAAAACAAAATTACTTTTAAAAAAATCAGTATAGCACATCTTAAAACACCAGAGAAATACGTTAATGAGAAGTGCAGCCAATAAAAACACCAATTAAATGAGAAATGTATTATATATGCTAGAATAGAACCTCTTTATCTACCTAGCTGTACAATATAGGAGAGAATAACATTTAACCCTTTGAGCAGCAAAGTCACTTAAGGTCACCATTCGCAAATTACTTAACTTTATCAACAACGTCGATCAAGACCTGTAGTCAATGTGGTATCGTGCGCTGTTGGCCCAAAATTTACAAATAAATTACAAGAAAATGCAAAACATTGTTGACGACGACGACGGACGACGACGGACAATCAGTAATATGAACAGCTCCGCTTTGTCGACAGCGGAGCTAAAAAGGTCATAATAAACAAAGTCGAATAACCCATAAACCATCTAGGAAATGTTCATGTGAAATAACTACGCGTGCAATTAGTGCAATTCTACATAAAAGCAAAATGAAGCATCAGGTAGAGAGTGCAGAATACCATGAATTATTGATGGTAATCAATATCACCATACGAATGAAGTGCTATCTATATATGAAGTTTGATTAATGACAGATACAATTTAAAATTACTTAACGTTTGCCTTCACATACTTACAATAAATGTAACAAGGACTGGTACGCATTGAGCCACAAATGCTGAAAACATATATTATATATGTGTTAGTGTAGAGGAAATATGGTTTGAATATTTATTAGGTCGAAAGTTATTTCTCGAAACTTTAAGAACATACATTTTGAGAAGGATTTATCATATTTATGGGCTTTCCATCGTGACTGTTTTTTTCGAGGGTTCAAATTAATTTAGTGTTTGCTTTTCATAGCAGGAGTGTCATTTATAATTGATTTCAATCAAGCTGTGACAGGGCCAAGTTTAATGTTTACAACTACATCTAGACTGAGTAACACCCTATGCAATTGGAAGCCTCCGCCTTCTGGGATGTTTTATATTGGATTTTATAGGATTTCACGGACACGTATGTTCGAATTACGAGTCGGCTATAGGTCAATATGTTACTCCAAAAAGCTAAACGTTGATTATGTAATTAAGATAAAGTTGGAAAAACGTAGTCACTAGGCAAATATATACATATTATATGTGTCTATCTTAAACATGTCTGGTTTTAGTTGAATGTTATTTGTCTCTGTAAATCAAAGTCGGGTAAACCATACTACTCGCATTGCTCGTACATGGGCGTCCTGTTGTTGTAAGCGACTAATACATTGGAGCCGATAACTTAGGTGAATGTAACGTGCTAAAATGTATACCATTGGGTTCAAAGCGTTATTTGAAAGGCGGCAAGTATGAGGTACAAGATAGCCCGGCACGTGGTGATGTCACGTGGGTGTATTGAAAAAATCGACTAGAATATTTACGTACATGTCCATATCATTAGAAACCCTGATTTCAGCATTTGGCCGACTTCACTGTTACGTACGACTTCAATCCTCGATGAAAACAACTCTTCCCATCCATACAGTTTTAATAGCCTAATACCCTGTAAAAGCTCGTTGGATTTTTTTAAACGCTGGTCGGCGAATTTCTGCAAAATAAATCATTGATGACATAAAAGATAGCGAAAAAACAGGACGTACTTTTTTGAAATCCAGAACCCGTTCGATTATTTTTAGCTAGCAGGGCTCGACACTAGTAGTGCTGGTATTGGGTTCAAGTTCGCGTGTTTTCAAGTCCAAAAGTCCAGTTCATATAAACATTTCAAGAGATGTCAATATCCAAAACCATTAACATTTATGATATCATGTCTATTCATAACCTATTTAACAATTTTGCAACACTTTATCAGATCAGAAAACGCGTAATAAAATTACATTGGACATAGTTACTGAAATTTGCATGTAATCACAACGCCCATAAAATGAAAACAACGTTCCCGAAGAATCAAAATATAATTAACAAACGATAATGGCGTCATCATGTAGCATCTCACTTTAAATGTACAAAACATTTCATGATGGGAACTTCTCACAGGTGTAATATGTGTAACGTCGTTTAATGCACTGAAAGGGAAACTCATACCGGTAACACAAATTGTATGTTATTTGAACAAAAGAAATTATTTTGTGATCCAGATGGGATAGAAGTTTAAAATTGTTAATTTTGAATATTATACAAGAACACATATATACTGCCATCCAAAATTGTCAATAATTATTGTTTCACCAACCATTTTGGAAATTTTTTATAATAAACAGTTAATAACGCATAAACGCATCTTTAGATGCAACTTTTAACAATTATTATTGTCACAACACGAATATTTATAATAACTAATGTATATTTGAGTTCTAGTTCTATCCCACCATTGATTTTTAAATGACTGAATTTCACAAACGTTTGATTGGTTTCGCTTCACATGGAATATTAAATGTATACAATTGTTATTTGTAAAGTCAAAACTCAGGCCAATAAAATGTGTATTTCTACGTGGACGGGACTTCAATGTTTCATGGTATCCACTTACTAATATTATTCTTTGTATTGCAGACATAGCATCGGCTATTTTATATTGCAACGGTGTGGCAACGACGAATACTGATGCACCAATCAATGCAGCAGGTCCAAGTCTCAGGTATAGCAGTATCAGAATGGTAGTAACCTTGGAAACAAACAAAAATAGAGCAACATGTGTGACATGGTATTCTGGTGTTCATTCATCGCGCTCTGTTCTAAATAAACAAACGGATTTCCCACAGTGCATGTCGCCCGGATAAATGTATATATATATTGCTAGCGTTCAACACCCATCGTTATGTCAATTTGGTATATCACCATAACAGACCATCCTACTTAAATAATTATATGTGCGCGTATTAATTTTTGTTTTTGCATAAATTTAAATGGATTCCATTATAAGATACAATAAGTGAATCTTATATCTGGCAAATCATTTGATATAACGTACCTGATAGGGCGTTGCGTATACGTGTATCTGATAATAGGAAAACCAACGTATATTCATAGCATCAACGGCCATGTGGTTTGTAATCTGGCCTACAGTTTTGTCGCCACTGGACAACACCCAAGACGACAATCGGAGGGACTTCTCATAGGTAAAAATCTAAAAACATACATTTATTATTTTGTTATTATATTGGGTTATGTATACAGTTGTGAATACTGGTCAATAATCTTGGTATCCAAACTAGGCCTTTGATGCAAAAGCCTGCAGATATCTTCCTTTACTTTCTTTCTTACTTTTACATCGCCATCGCAACAGTGGTCGCTATTGAGAAAGGGAATTGAATATCGAGGCGCAAAAAAGTCTCGTGACTCTCGCGCTTTCAACGGGATTTCGGCGGCCATTTGAATATAAGGTGACACTATTCAGGTTACTTGACTTACCTGCAGACACGTGCGTGCTTTTATTCCAACAAAAATGCACATATTGTACGCCCACTGTAAAATTAAAGCTTTCATTCCTGTTGCCACAAATATAACACCAATCAAGACAAAGCCATTAGCGAAAAACTCCTCTACAGTGACGTAACCAGTATACTGTAACAAATATCCAATAAGGTTATGAACATGAAACAATGCGCGGTTATTATAATATTTTATGCAATTACCCAGTAGAAGCAGGTTATAATACAAAATATTGTGCATTATAACATTGAGCAGTTTACCAAACTTTTGTTCTATTATATCTACATTATTTTACAGGAGTTTGTAATATAACAACGCTCCAAAACGGGAAATCAAAATCGCGCTAGTTGGAACGGCGTTTCATCGATTGAAAGGCGAATTTTCTGTTTATGCTCTAGTCAATATGAGCCAGACCTCCCCAACTTCAGGATATGTAGGAACAGACAATGGATGAAATTGGCAGGGTCCCATCACCTGAGGTAAACACAAAGCGTTTTACCGCCATGTGAATTCCCTCCCCTTCTCCCAACCCTTCCCTCGGGTTTTGTATGTGTCAAACATGGCATTATACACAGTAAGCCTGATATTACCATTGATAGTTATGAGCCTATCGGACTGTTCTGAACACCAATATCTCAAAAACTGGCCCGTTAATTTTCCATATGCACAGATGTATGGAAAACAATGACTAGGGCATTGTCAGAATTGTTTGTTTATCCTACCAAACATAATCTTAGTTTTATCAACACAAAGCATAATTCAAGTCAATTGACAATGACTTAGCATGTAAGCAATAGTAAGCAAACCTTAAATGAGTATATATCACATCGCATATATAATATCCAAAGTATGCTTTAAGTTTGAACTAAATTCGTCAGTACATGAGCGGGAGTCGGTTCTGGGAACATGATTTTTAATCGGAACGGATCGTTGCACCAAGATCAATCATTCCAGTCTCTGTCTATGTCTGTTCGCAAGACATATCTATTCACATTATGAGGCCTAACTTAAGAACCCATAAGAGTAAATTATGTTCTTTCACATCAAGACCTGCACATGTTAAAACAGGTTTTCTTTGAATGACAATAATCTGTTCATGGCAATATACAATTATTACATTGGGTCGTTACAGATTGCGAAGACACAAAAGGCTGCTATCTAATGCTACAATTTACCTTACAATTTACGTATAAAACGATACATTGTATCAATCATTAGAAGCACGTGCGAACCTTGGCTAGTATGCTGAGCAATTAAGTATACTAGTTTCCAGTCATGCTATATTTTGTTCGAAAATCATATTTAGGTATTAAGTTATTTGCCTACATTTAACTCGATTTACTTGAATAATTCAATACTCACATGACAGGTATTTCCTCATTGTAATACCACTTCGATGCAAACGTGACGACGCCACCAACTGCTAGAGGTGGTATGAGAGCTACGGTTTCAACAATAAAATTTAGTGCATTGGCCTGCAATATAGTCAGGCCATGCATTTTGAAATAAATTCTCCATAAAGACGGCATAGTTCCTTCTTTTTCTTAAGAACTCTTTTCTGTGTAAAAGAAGAAACAGTGCCGAAGTATTAGATGCTGTACGTGATGTATGTATTTTAACTGTAGTCACTAAATAAATGTAACTATGTTGTCTTTATCATATAACCAACAACACATAGATGTTAAATACCACATCGGTCAATTTCCTGATGAATCGCCAAACAAAGTTTGTCTTATTATTATTATTTACTCATTTGTTAGTGGTGTGAAGATTTCAACAGTTTACAGGTTGATCTGCAATAACACTTGAGCTGAATAACTGACAAAAAGGAATTGGTTTGAATGCTTGACTAATCTGAATGGAAACACTAAGTGTGGAACAAAATAAAATTGTATGTCTTATACAAGAATTGAAACCAACAATTTTGCATGGAAAATGAGGGGTACAAATTAACCTTGATTTGAATGTGTCTCATTCGTGGATAAAATGTGAGAGATAATAAGTTGATATAACCGGAAAATTACATTTATATGGTTGAGGTGGATATAGAATTGCAAAACGACTCATATATTTAAAAAAAATGATAACAATAAAACAACGAATTCACTAAGTGCCTACCTTTTCTACTTCGTATGCCGTCTTGAAAGACCTGTGCAGTGTGTTGCATTCAAATTCATCGGACAGGCAACCCAAGTCTTCTATCTCTAATGGTTGCTGTTTCCAAGAACCATGATCCAGCTCATCGACCAGAACATTAGACGTGACAAAACATTCGTATATCGATACAAGTTGTACATGTTCTTCTTCTGAGGTCTGGTGGGAAAGACGGTTCCTCGTAACAACACCCAAACACCTAGGAAGAAATCCATGGACCTGAATTATTTAAAATCGGTAATTAATCTGTCGAGGGTTATTAATTATTTTAAACTGTAGGATGAAATAGTAAATATATTTTGCTTCAGTGATGTTTTCAAACTTTGCTTTAATTCCTGTCTGAATTCACCTAAGAGTCTATATAGATGTCCTTATTACACTTATATGTTCAAATGAAGTGTAATATTATACTTCAACCAGTAAATATCTATTCCGAATGGTGTACACACGTTTTTCGTTTATCCGTCCACTATTATTTCAAAAATTTACGATGATTAAGTCAGTTGAGAATGAGAATGGGTTCCAAACGTTGGTACTGAAAACGGGAAATTATACAAAGTTATCTGAATACGAGCGTTAGTATCGTACATTGCCATGGGCTATTGTGGACACAGCTGTCCAAATCAAATAATCCATATATTATACCGAGATTTAGGTCTTAATCCGCCCTCATAACGGTTATCTATCTTTATCTTGGCAGTTAACACCCTTTGATTAAAAAAAAACCATCAAACCTAAGAGGATTGAAAAAATGAACTAATGGTTCTAACTGGTAAAATATAATTAAAAACACAAGTACAGAAAGTATATTGAGGGAATGAACTATAAATAATATCATACCAAAATCATGACGCCCAAATTGGCTCTTACATTTCCCTCTGCTCCACCCCGCATTGTGGGAGCGGACATTTGCAGGTAAGTAGTCTGTGTTTACTATTGGAACAGGTTTGAAAGTCAAAACCAACTGAGGGCGTAAAACGCGTTACTGTAAGTGCCATTATTAACCCCCATCATGTTGACATTGTGTCTTGTCAGAGTGAATAAATAAATGACAATCTAAACTTGATTAGGATTAAATGAGATTTACCCTTCGAGCGCCATAATTTTCCCTCCAAAATTTTGCCTGTTTTTTTATCTTTTTTTCGCCAAATTAACATAATATACTAATGGTTACACGTCTTAATTTTAAAAAAATCAAAAATGATAGGTTCATTTAGTTTGTGAACTTTGGCGCTCAAAATGTTTAGATGCAAGGTCACTAGACGTGTGATGTTCGACTGCGAAGCTACCCGAATACTATAAAGCTTTCTTTCAATATTTAGATCATATTTTCGTGACACACGTTCTGTTACTTGACTAATAACAATTTTATAAATCAAAATCTAATACGTCTCCGCGCAATATAATTTGGCGGTCAATGGCTCATCTTAACTTTGTTATCTTTGCTATCAAATATTGGCAATGAAACACTAAACAAGTGTATGATAGACGTAGTCATGGTGATATCACAGTCTATGGCTAGTTGTGTTTGGTTTCTGTTTTAAGATTTATCACTTCGTTTTTGATTTATAGTTTTGTCTGACACATTGAAAACACTATTTTTGCACGCGTCTGTGCCCTCATGGTTAATTTAACAATCTACAGCGCTAGCCATTCAGCGACAGTGCGTGTTTCTGTCACAATACATACTGTATAACAAGTATAGTGCATATAGTACTCAAGTACTCACACAGTACTCACACTTTTGCCTGACAAACAGCTGTTACAAACTAAAAAATGGATTCCCGTTATAAATCTGTGTTCATTGTGGACGAGATCGATACCGATACGCCTACTACGCCTACGTGGTGTCACGGCGATCGTCCTGACAGTTTTCAAATGTATAAATGTTTTACGTTTAAAGGTTGTATGTTTATCTGAAAGCGCCGTATACAAGACGGCAAAATGATTTGGTTTAAATTTGAAACGGTGAGTAATGGGACCACCTCATTTGCGCGCCCAATCAAATATTGAATTGAAAATATACTATGCGCAACAATAACTATTTATACATTTCAATGACAGCCGAACCACTGGCAACCAACCAGCCAATCAACGAACGTATTGCGCAACGACGTCATTTGAAAACGTTCCAATGTTACCCAATCGGCTAATAAAAAAACCTCTCGATGCCTTTGTTGTGCCGAGAGTAAAGCTTTTCCTACCACGATTGCGCACGGGTTCGTAGTGACGGTCATACATGGTAGATTTCAGCGAAAACGTTCGAATCAGACGACGCCTCAGATATGGTGAATAACACAATACAACTAACTGAGGATGAGATAGATTTCAGAGACACTTATGTTCGGCTTCACGTTGATTGAAACCTACACATTTTATTTGGGGGTGATATAATGGTATATGTTATTATCATTCTTGATTTGAGGTCAGAGGTC